TCTACGGAGTCTCTCAAGGCCTGCAAAGTGAAGGAGTATGACACACACACACACACATTTCTTAGATTACTATTAATTAATTCTATTGACATGGCTCCCTGAGGTAACTAGCGTAGTGCTAATGAAATGAATGGAATATGGTCACATACTCTGATTACAGTCCACAAATTACCAACACACACAAAGGAGTTCATTGTTAACACAGACTGATTTGTGGCGAATCATGCAAATGGCCAGTTGCCATCCAGACAGTTGCTACAGTGAGTGTTGCCTGGTTAGTAAGATTCAAATTAACTTATGAAAGCTGAGTTTCCATTTGATGAGCAGAACAGACACTTGGCAATCAACTCAGCCTAGCTCACTCTTTGTTTGAGCGATTATCTTGTTTAAAGGCTCAATACAACTTCAGCTGTCGACATATATGTTGATCACCATAAAGTTATTTAGACTTGTCTAAATAGAAGATAGAGCTTTTCCTTGAGACAGAACTCTCTTGGGTCTTTATTTTTACATAAGTAATGATTCATGTCAGGCACTCATCAGTAGGAGTTTGCTTCACTCTTCTCTACTGGGAATTATTTAACTTCAGATGCTCTGTTACAAAATCCATGTCAAGGTGGTCTCCTAAAAACTAAAAATGGAACCCAGTGAGGTCGACCTGGCAATTCGAAAATGGTTTTTAAAATAAAGGAAATGACTCACAGTACTCGATGCCGAGAACAATGTCTCTGAAGTAGCAGCGGGCCTGGTCCTCACTGAACGGACTGTCGCTGGGGACCTCCATCACAGGGCTGGTGACCAATAGAGACACTTTATTGTAAGTTAACTGATAAAGTACTAATAAAAGACAGTAACTGAGACAGTAACAGACAACAATGATTCAGGAAGAGAAATACTGAATGAAATGATAGGTGGAGAGATCAAAACTTTTGATACAATATACTGTCTGAAATGTCCTCTTGATGTGTCCTCTTGCTTTAACATGAAACCACCCTAGTGAAAAATAAATATACTAAAAAGTATTTGAAATACATTTATGCCCAGCTAAGTATACTACAAATACATGTACCTATTTGTGTACTTAATAAAAATATTCTGCAATTGTACTTAAAGTCTGCTAAATTGGAACTAATTTTGTACCTAATGCACTTTAATTGTGCGGAAGTAGTGCTGAAGTCCAACTAAATATATACTGAAGTATATTTGATTGTGTTAAAGTAGAACTATTGCAAGTATACTTTAGGTACACTTTACATATCTTGCATTTAAAGATTGATATTGTTCAAAGATCATACAATCCTCATCAATAGTGACACTGAAACACATTTTAGGCTTAATATCAAGAAATGTGCATTGTGCACTAGAACTCCAAATAAAGTTTAATTATAATTTTTTATATCAGTAAGTCTCGAGCACTATGTCAGTAAAAATGTTAATAGGTTTTAACTATACTTAGTATGAAATAAAAGTATTTTAAATACATTACTTTTTCTTTTTAACCAGGACAGCTTGAATCAATAACAATGATTCTAATTTCAGATTTTTACATACAGTACCTCTCAAAATCCTCACTGATTTTTTTTTAGCAATGTATTTTATTTGCACCAGAAAAAAGAGATACATTCCTTGTATAAAATATTTAGATATTTAATATTTAAATTACGATTTTTGTTTTAAATGTATATTATATTTTAGATAGATTTTATCTGGAAAAACAAAAGCATTTTGCTTTATAAAACGGGACAATAAATGTTGTATTTAAAATGATTAATCAATTTGTTATTTATTGTTAAATTTAAGAGTTAAATGTGCTTACTTGTCAAAATAATAATAAAAAACAACTAATTTTTAATTCTGAATAAATATATTATTTCATTTCCCCATTTTATTTTATGTGGCCCTCATTTTTTAATGAATCAAGTGAGCTGTAAACTGTACAGACTTTCGGTGAAAAACAATAGACAATTATTGGTTTATAATATATAATCCATATTGTAAGTTATTTTTGTAGTTTCGACATCTCATTTATGTTAGCCAGCTAGATAACATAAACTTGAGGCTGTAATACACTAAACAACTTTTAAAATCTGAACAGATTTTAAAACACAACGAATCATACACTGGCCGACTTTGTAAATAGTTACAGAACGACTAAAGATCACACACTATTGTGTCTTTGTTGCTAAGAGATGTGTGACAAATAAAAATAATACATATTCTAAAATCGGCTCAAAATATCAAACAGGTTTGATATCATCTGACTTAGGGTGTACTCACACTAGGCACGGTTGCCTTTAACCGAGCCCGAGCGCGATTATCCCCACTCCCCCCTCCCCCGCTGGCCTGCACTCACACTTGCACTAAACATTCCCGGCCGGAGCACGCTTATGAGATAACGGAGAAAACCATTTTCGCTAATATTCTGCCGAATAATTAATTTATCATTTATGCATTGATTTTCACTTGTATGTATCAGAAAATTATTACGGAGGCAGCTGACGTTAATGAAATAATTTGCAGCTTTACTCGCAAACTACATTTCCTGTTCATCAATAAGGTAAGAACCAGACCCATTATAAACTAAATATACTTGATTAAATTAAATTAATTGAAAAGTGTAGTGTAGTAGTAGTAATAGAATATGTTTGCAGTCGTAATGATGATATAGCGCACACAAAATAGTATCTGTTCCGTGCTCCGGCGCGGTTAGCGCTCACTGCATGCGTACCGCGCCCGAGCCCAACTGAACCGTGCCCTGGCCCACCTCTTCCAACCAGGTCAGGGCACGGTTCAAAACGCCTAGTGTGAGTACACCCTTAATGGAATCATAGTCTAAAGCTAAAACATCGGAGTCTGTAGCCATTATATTTTTCTACGAAAAATCCAACTTTCGCCAACTAGCATGAACTACTCCAGACTATAAATCAGCGCTAAAAGTCATGTAGTGTATTCCAGCCTTTGGTGACCTATTTCCAAATGTTTGCAAGACATACGTATATAACGCAGCACTGTGAAAGTTGTGCAACAGAACAAAGGGTGCTGGGAAACTACAGGACTGCACACACAGTGGATAGAATCCTTCAAAATGAACGGTGACTGTGAGATTTACATAAAAACCAATCACACAAACCACTTAGCACAAAACAGGGTCCTCAAAGGCCATTTCATTCATTACCCACAGGCAGTGAATCACGATTGAGCAGAAAGGCCAAACATATTCAGCCAGGTCTAGTGAAAATAGACCATTCTGTAATTATGCAAAGTAAGTTCTAATCTGCTCTTTTCAAGGCAGAAGCCCACAAACAACATTTCTCTCCAAAACAAAGCTGGGCCACTTGGCAAAATCTCATATTCAACCGAAGTAAAATGTCACATTTGGAAAAAATGAGGTCTTGTAATAAACTGGAAGACTGCTGCCCTTTAAATTAGCTTTTTATGGCTTTAGAAACGCAGAGAAAGCAACAGAATAAATAAAAACTACAAGTACCAGAAGGAATACTGAAAAGATTAACAATGAGTCACATTGTCTATTCAGTAACAAAAAACAAAAGATCTGATTTAGAAAAAGAAGTGAATAAGAGACTGAGTGAGAACATAAGTACTTAATTAATCCCTTTGGAACAAGGGAAGAAAACGGGAAACTGAGTCAGATCTAAGTGATGACAGATATGCAAGACAAGACACAGTCGATGAAGATGGGAAGAAGTGATTAATGAAACGATACAGGATGGAAGAAAGCGTGGCGAAAGCATCAATTATGCACAAAAGAGGTCTAAGTGGACACACAGAATACTCACCCCTTCTGCATCAGCTCAAACACTGTGGAAAGATCAGAAAGAGAGTCATTAAAGAAAAATCAGTGAAAAGACATTCTGTTATTGACAAATCCATTACTCAGAGCACTTTATGAAATGTAATGTTCACAGTCCTCATATAGTATGTCATATCCTCAAATGACCCAGCTCTTTTTCACACATAAGCATGATGTGTGCTTTTATTCGCACCATTGCACAGTGGTGTGAAGTCATTTAGGATTTTGTAGCAGTCCATCAGCACAAACACCTTATATTCATTCCTACAGTATGAGTCAGAGCAGCCAACTAAATTTGTCATACATATGACACGCTTATTCTACAGATTCTCACATCAGCCCATTATGAAGACAGGCTGCACAGTTTGATCTGCTTTAAACATATGTCTGCTTTTCATTAAAAAGTAAAGTTTGTAATGGTAAACATTATAGTGACAAAAGTTTTGCAGTGACAAAGTGCACAGAGGTCATTCATTTTCAATTAATGAGAGTTGGTGATCTGAGATGATATGAGTGACACTGATCTGACAAAAGTCAAAAGGGTTTCATTTTATGCAAATGAGCAGTGATGTGGTGAGACGAATAGCAATGGAGCAATGGATATATTTATATATATATATATATAAAATCGTCTTTGAACTGTAGTGTAATTATAATTGTACAACACTACGGGTCTAATGGGTGTTTCAGCTACTGTAAAAACACCATCATTTGCTGAGTCTATTACACATTTTACCCTTTTACAACTAAATTTATATTAAAAAGAACATACCCATGTGAAGGCTGTCCTCCGCTGGATCATCCAGCACCTGAAATAGAAACCTTATTAAAAACACCACCTGCTACAGGCACTGTATGGCACTATGTCCAGGTTTCTGTGTCTAGGAAAATATGTAACACCCATACAGGTCCAGAGCAAATCTGACTTGAGTTTATCGGTTTTTAATTATTTTTATGCATTTTCTTCATTTCATTTTCTGAGAGACAATATTTTAAAAGACCATGATTGATTATTTCCTTAGCTTGCTCAGCGATAAAGCTGTGTGTGTAAAAATGATGGAAAAAAATTGCTGAAGCCTATGTCACTCTACACCACTGCTTGTTGGAAAAAGTTGCAAAAAAAAAAAAACAGCCAAGCTACTGGCACAGTGCAGCTGATGAGATTCGATAAGCATCAGGTGCTTCATCCTTCACTGCCAGCAGAGCACCATTTCTGTATTGCTCCTAATGGCCACGCACACACTCCTAACTTAAGACTATACTTGGACTGACAGTAGGAGAGTCCAGGTGATTGGAGTGTAGGTGGTTCCTCTGCCTCACTTTCTAAGTTTCCTTTAAACATTTTTCATGCTCGGACTCAATTTCTATCTCACACGCACTCTCTCACCCCTCTTTTCTAATTTTGCTGACGTACGTGAGTGCTGCTGTGATTGAAGAGCACTCAGACGGAACCACAGTGGGAGAGAAGGAAAGGCGCTTTTCTCCTTCAGCATCCCTCCATTCTGGCTTCCTTTTCTTTATCCTGTGATCGATCGCACTCCTCTCCACATCCCATTCTCAGGAGCATTAAGGGCGTCTCTCTTCAACAGATTTACTCCTAGCTGATTTTCAGTGTTGCTATTATTTTGTCCCCTCTTTGGCACAAATTACATAATGATACATGACTAGTCTGAAATATAGCTCGGTTATTGAGCTGTTAGGGTAATTGAGTTCACTTCCTTCCAAATTTCATCTCTCTGTGTTTTGATTATTTTATTATTAAATATATATATATACATTTTTTTACACCTGGCTTTTCCTGAGACCCAGAAAAAAACTACAGCAGAAAATATGGTGTAAACCAAATTTCTTTCAAGTGGTTGTTCATTAATCAAATAACAATACATTTAGAAGGAAGAAAGTTCTGAAGCAAAGAAGTTAGTTTGTTCAATTGTTTGTTCGATCTGAAGGTTATTCAGAAGGGAAGTTTGTTTGTTCATTCATTCATTGAGAAGAAAGATTATTCAGTACGAAGGAAGAAAGGAAATCATAAAATTGAAAAGGATTCTTCGTTTGTTTGTTGTAAAGGATGGAAGGATGTTTGAAAGGTTTCTTCAGATGGAAATAAACGTTCAGAAGAAAGTACGTTTATTAATTCAGAAAGAATCAAGAAAATAAAGTAATTTTGAATGAAAGTTTGCATGAAAGGAAGAAAGGAAAAAGGGAAGAACATTCAAAGGAAAAAAGTTTAAAGTACCTCTATTATGGGTTATGAAAGGTTCATATTTTGGTTTTGAGAGTCCCCAACAACAGGTTGACATGCATGCAAGGTCAAAAAACACTTTCATTGTCTTATATGCATTTATTTTTACCTTATTTGCTCAACGACTCCCAAACGATTCGCTCAATGATTAATTTTCCAACCCCCTCCTTTGCATGATGCTAATCTGCGGTGATTGGTCAAATTGGTCTCATTTTCATTTCATCATGCCTGCAATGCCTGATAAAGCAACGTTTGTGAGCGCAGTGCTGCTTGGTGTACAGCGTTACTGGGGAAACAGCTATTTTTACCGCTCCAAAAGCAGCACCTAGTGGCAAAGAATGAATTTGCATTTTCATTCAAACCAACAAGTGGGCGGGCAATATGCTAATGTTTCATGTTGACCTCAACATGAAACGACTTGGGATTTATTTTAAAAACGACTCGTTTCAATGATTCAGAGTCGATTCTTTCTTTTGAGAGACAACTTTATACACGGTGCACTTTCAGATTTAAAACTTTGCAGGATGTTTTCATTCACTTAGAGCTGTGTTACACACTGCATGAAAGGTCATTTTCAAAAATCCATAATAGGGGCACTTTAATAATTAATAAGAAGTTTGTTCGTAACAAAGTATTTTTAGGAAGAACATTTAGAAGAGAAGAACAGATTATTATTTTTTTTTCTATTAAATTATTAATTAATTAATTGTATTAATTAGCAGACGTTTATTAACAGTGGATCACATGAATGAAGGAATATGGCCACAGTCCTTACCTCAACCAATTTAACTATGTTGAGGTGGTCCAGTTTTTTCAGGATAGCTATCTCCTGGTAAACTCTCTCTAGAGGACCAAGCACCTTGGGCTGCTCCCCCTGGGCTGCTTTAGGACCTCGGGGAGGAGGGCGGCCTGCAAAGAGAAAGAATGCAAAGCTAAGTTTGCTGCTTCATTTAAATACTGAATTCTTCAGCTGGTTTAGAGGACTGCCTCAACATCTGCCTCACAGGACAACATCTGCTGTGCATAACATCTGCATACATCTGGTTTCAAATTAGAACTTAATTTAAATTCCATACATACGGGGAAAACCATACTGTTTCATCAGCTTCTTCTTAGATACCACTTTCATTGCCTGCAAAACAAGTAAGACACAGATGAAAAGAGCAAAACAGCCAATCTTGCCAAGACTAAGGTCTGAACTATGGTAGGTGTTCTCAAACACACATATTTCCATCTATAAAGTAGGTGACACAATCAACTGACTTTTCCATTTACATACTAATCAAACAAAGCTTTCACAGAGTTCAATCCACTGCAGTGGATCCTCTCGTTTGCTTCTGGCCTTGATGGGTCACTCAGTGTTCCTGCGTAGGTGATTGCTAAAGTGAATGCGGAAATTTGATCACAAACAGTGAGTGACAGACTATAAGAAGCAAGCAGACCAAAGTGCTTGTGATTTGTAAATCAACTTGGGTTTTTTTAAAGAAAAGAAACAAATGGGTTGTGCACATTCCACCGCTGATGCTTGGATCAGATGTCTTTGTAAGCAATTAAAACGTTAATCAAAACAATTGCTTCTGGCACACAGAACTGGGCTTTTAAAATCTACACTTCCTGGAAAACATATTGAGTCATCTGTATCTTTTTACAATGGAAGACGTCTATTACAGAAGAATTGTGCACCTGTGTCTTTTCTGCTGGGATGAAAGTCACAGAGACGTACATAGTGCGCATACAGAAAATTTGGAGACTTATGTAACGTGGGAAGTGCTCTCTCTGAATCTCTGCCACTCTGCTCATTACAGTCAGAAAACGAAATGGCAATACAACAGGCTGCCAATTTCTAACACCTGCGGCTTCATAATGAGCAAGATCTGGACAAATTCAAAATTCATCCTTGAGTTTTTCATGATACAATTTCACATATTGTCATGGAGAGGATTCAAAATTTAGCTGAAGCGCAGGTTGAAACCCTGTGGTCTTTTCCCTTCATTTTTCATGCTATAAAATCCAATATCTCAGAATTATAAATGTTTAAAAGACACTTCATCTTAAATATGAAAGTACACAACTTTAGATGTGAATCCATAATAGTTAGCAATAAGAAAGAGTGCTTTTCTCCTCACGCTCAAGGACAGCTGGAGGAGGCTACGTCTGTTGTGCTGACGAGTTTAAATAACTCAGTTCGTCAAAGAGTGAAGAGGAAACCATGAATGTTTTATGAACATGTCGGAGGTGAGCACGATGAAAGAAAATTGCTATTTAGAATGCAGCAGGGACGGAAAGAACTGAAGCATCAGAATGCAAATGACTGGGAAACGATGGGATGAATCAGCAAGTAAGCAATACATAAATACAGTTTGCTGTAGGAGGTGATGGATCTATATTTACTGTAATCTATGAAAAATACAGTGGGGTCAACAAGGAAAACGCCTCTCTTTTGCGATATTAAATAACAATATACTGTAGATAACTTTTCTCCTCGCTACAGATTTTTTAAAATTTATTTATTTTTTAAGTGTTCACCAAGGCTGCACTTATTTGATCAAACATACAGTAAAATCAGTAATATTGTGAAATATTACTACAATTAAAAAAAACTGTTTTCTATTTTTATATGATTTAAAATGTAATTTATTCCAGTGATGACAAAGCTGAATTTTCAGCAGCCATTACTCCAGCCTTCAGTGTCACATGATCTTTCAGAAATCATTCTAATATGATGATGTGGAGCGCAAGGAACATTTCTTATTATTATCAATGTCAAAAATGGTTATACATTGTATAATAAGTTACATTATAACATTGATCCATTAAAAAATGCTTGCTGAATAAAATTATTAATTTCTTTAAAAAAATCTTGCTGACCCAACTCAACTTTACAATGTGCTAAGATTAGAAGTTGGAAAATGCTAAATGGGATTACACACTGTAAAATAACTAAATAACCAAACCAATAATGCAACACTTCCAACATTCCATTAAATAACTTATATATAAACCTATATATTTGAACGACAAGAAAAATGTCAAACTGAATGGTTTCTGATGATAAGTTTCAACCATGGTTGAAAAAGAGTGAAAGACAGGCAGAAAACAGACAGATGTTGCAAAGGGGAGAAAAAATGCAAGAAAAATGAAGAACAAGATATAATATCAGGATTAATTCTACCTGTAAAGAAAAAGAGAATGTGTGGTAATTGTTAGAACGGTAAAACCCTGCTTTGTGAGGCCAGTGGAGGGTAAAGGCCAGAGACGGGGGCAGCCTCACTCTACTCTGCCTTTATGAAGGGATTTGATCTCTGTCCTCTATTCATCCTTGCTGTTATATATCCACACAGCATGAATTAATGAATGCAGCTGGGAACTGGGAGCTATATTTTGTTTTCAGACACATTGTCTATTATGACAGATGATTATGAGGAGGAGAGGAAAATATTCAAATGTGATCATGAGACCAGCAAAAAGCTGAACTACAAACAAGGGAGAAAAATGGCATTATTAGGTACACCTAATACCAAATAAGATGCCCTTTATACACTGATACATGATGTCATGTTGAATTGTGATCCTAGTATGTTAATGTTTCAGAAAAACCAAGAATTGTTGCTCTTTTTTCCCCTCTGTTGAGCCATCCAGTTTATAGCTCATATATAGAGTCATCAGAAGAGGATCTGGGAACAGCCTTCTACTGCTGAAAGCCCATTCCCTTCAAGGTTATGATTTCAGCTGTGCCTTTCTCCTGTTGGGAGAAGTGCTAGTTTGAGTGTTTGTGGCCTTTTTTCTCAGCTTGAAGGAGTCTGATCAATCTCATCTGACCTCTCTCATTAACAAAGTGTTTTCTTTCAGTGAATAGGCTCTCAATAGATGTGATTTTCTTTAGCACTACTTGTACACTCTAAAGACAGAGGTGTGCACAAGCGTCTGTCCATCTGGCATCCTGTCTAGCACCAACAACACTAAGACGTTAACACTGTGTCTTCCTTATTTCGCATCTAAACCTTTTGAGCATATTTACATCCTTTACATACATTCCATATAGTCTAATCATTAATGGATGAGTTCACCCAAAAATGAAAAATTGAAAATGTTCTTTCCACCCAAGATGTAGATAAGTTTGTTCCTTAATCGGAACAGATTTGGAGAAATGTATCATTACATCACTTGCTCAGCAGTGGATCCTCTGCAGTGAATGGGTGCCGTCAGAATGAGACAAACAGCTGATAAAAACATCACAATAATCCACAAGTAATCAAAGGACCCCTGTCCATTCATTAATTTTGTGAAGTGAAGAGCTGTGTGCTTGTAAGCAACAAATCCATCAAGACATTTTTTCACTTTTTCCCTGTAGGATGTGTTATTATGGATTATGGACTTGTATTTTTGCCAGTAGCAATTGTTTAAAGTTAAATGCTTTAATTATGGATTTGTTTCTTACAAACACAGATTTTCACTTCACAAGACATTAATTGATGGACTGAAGTCATAGATTATTGTGATGCTTTTATAAGCTGTTTGGACTCTTGATTCTGACGGCACCCATTCACTGTAGAGGATCCATTGGTGAGTAAGTGATTTCTTGCTAAATTTCTCCAAATCTGTTCTGATGAAGAAACAAACTCATCTAGGAAGGCCTGAGGGTGAATACATTTTTGGGTGAACTATTCCTTTGATATGAGATCATAAAAACTGCATACATAATCATAACACAATTTGAAAATGCTGAGTAAAGTAGTTTTATGTCACACTGCAAGGTATTCAGCTATTCTGACACATTGATTCCAACTGTTAGTCTACCATATGCTGCCTCCATCCACTCGCATAAGCACAGCTTTAACTTATTTTATGCTTATTGATGCTGAAAATCTCACTTTCTGTCATGTACCTCTTCTTGAAAAGCTTGAAACATATCTTATTTACTTCCTGTGGGCACCTGATTAGTAAAATTGGAAAGTGTGTCCATAAAACTGTCCATTTAAAAATAGATTTCCATTTAACAAGTCCTACCACAGGGCTTGGTGACAAAATATTACTGTTTTTAGGACAAGATGAAAATGAAAGACCAGTCATTTTTAGATATAAGTAAATGTCAATTACATATACAGAATTTACATTTTATTTCTGTCCATATTGTTTATTTTGATGTTTATTTTTGATGAAAATAATTTGAATAGAACCTTTTATGCTTGTGTTCTTTGCAGTCCAGGCAATGATGAGAATAAGGACAGTAAAATTACTTCCTGTGTGTCTATCTATTTGTATGCATGTTTGTTCGGTTGTGTGCATATGTGATCAACAGTGATGGTGTTTGGGGGCTGATATAAACATCTCCAAATGAAATTAAGGACTGCTGTACATTCCTGTCATTTCTGTTATATCACAACCCTCCCCATCTGCTCTCATTTTCATAACCATTCAATCTATCCTGCCTCTCCTCCCTCTCTGTCATGCTGCTTTTCTCTTTCCAATCTCTTTCCCGCATTATATTGTTTTTTCCATTTACTTTACATTTTCACTTCTTCACAATATGCACGTCATGACTGTGTCTAAAGCTGAACTGTGTCATTTCTGCACGTCATGCTGCAACAAGGACAATTTATTTTAAAATATACTTACGTAATATTTGTCATCATCCTCATTGTACGCCAGCTTGACAACACCATATGAGCCCTTTAAGACATAAGAAATGGATAGAGGAAAAAAGATAAACAAAACAGGTAGAGTGAGATGAGTCAGACTATGAGACTGTGCTGTGGGTCAGTAAGGGTCAGTGTCTGAATGCTTGAATGACTGCTATGAAACAACATGGCCATGAGATTTTTCTGATGTTTATATGCATGTCGACTATCAAAATAACTCAATAGGAGTATGATGTAGGTGAGCTTACCTTCCCAATCTCACTCTTTAACTTGTACTGGTTAAGCTGGATGCAATCCTGAGATTGTGAAAAAGCAAGCAAGAAAGAAAGAGAAGAGCAGAGACAGAGAGAGAATGGAATCAATCCCAGCTACAGACACAAAGGAGTCGTGACACTATATTAATATACTTCACACCAGAGGGAACATGTAAGCCAGTTACAGGTGGAAACAACAAATCATTTGTTTCATAACCTATTCCATATAGAAACTGCAAAAGAAAAGATTTTAAAATACCTTTGCATCCTGGTTGACTCTGACAGCAAATACCACAATCTCAATACTATTTTACTACTGACAGAAAGATTGATCCACTTTGCAATTCTGTTCAAGAAAGGCCATTTAAACACTGGTTTTCATTGAAGAACTTTTTATTTAACATTAAGGTCATTTTACATAACTGAATTCATTAAACAGGGAAAAAATATATAATTTTCTTTCAGCAAGAAAATCAAACCTTTCATTTTTGTATTTTGAATCGGGGAACAAATGGAGGAAATCGCTGACTTCTGTTTTTAACAAGCTGTCATGTCATTGTGCCCATGAGATGATGCCACGTCTGTATCAACTGCTGCAAATACAATTAATGTTTTTTTCCAAAAGTCTGAAGATTTATGCACAGCTATGTCATTTGCTTACATCCATCTGATTGGTTAAGATGCCTTTAGAGTAATCAAACTCTGAAGTAAGAGAATTATCTCCACCATTCATGAAATCATGACTGAACCGTTCCAAACCCATGGTCTGAACAAGACCACAAGACCATATTATTAAAGAAGAAATGCATCTTAAAAAACAGGGGGTTTGATGTCTTTGAATCAGCTGGTAAGTGTGAAAAGACTCACATGCGGCCAAGTTGGCAAAGCAATAACTATATCTGAATCAGCAACCTCGGTTTATTGTCAACTGCAAACTTTTCTCCACAGCAGGGAACATTACTACTGCAAACAATTCTGCCCTAATAAGAGAAATTTGACAATCCTTGCTTTCTACTAGCTGGAATGCACTGCAAATATTGTAGCATTATAAAAAATATAAAACAAAACCTTTATGTTTACTTTAAAAGCAATACATTTAGTTTGATTTAAAACATCAACAAACTGCCATTTTCTTTTGATTCATTGTTTTGTTGTGCTGTACTGAAAAATGTGGCTCTAAAACTGAGGTAAATAACAAAAGATGGATTTGCAATGCAGTTACAACCCTGCTCAACATCATTTCAGAAATTGCATAAATATTGAGGCAAGGACTCTGAGGAACAGGAAGAAAGATTGTAAAAGCAAAGACAGTGGTAAAAGCAAAAATTTGAGGAAGAACTTCTCTGGGAGAGGAACCTCGCTGAGAATGCAGATATGGATACATTTTAAACACAGACACACAGAACAATTTGATACTCTTAGTGCAAGAAAAGTTTTTAATGGTTCTTAAGTTTATTTACAGATAATGAAATGAGAAGAACTAAAAAAAAAAGAAGACTGAGAGGCAGAGAGAGAAAGAAAGAGAGAGGACAGAAGAGAGGAACACTGGACTCCTGGCTGAGCCTAGACTATTACTGGCACATGCTCAGTGAGCCCTGCATTGCAGTATTCGCACACGCACGCACACATGTTGGTTTTTATGGTTTATGAGGACTCTCCATAGGCGTAATGGTTTTTATACTGTTCAAACCGTATTTTCTATTGCCCTACACCTACCCTACCCCTAAACCTACCCCTCACAGGAAACTTTGTGCATTTTTAGATTTTAAAAAAACTTCATTCTGAATGATTTATAAGCCTTTTAAATTACGGGGACACTCAAAATGTCCTCATAAATCACCTTCTCGTTGTAATACCTATGTCATACCCATGTCATTATACAAATTTGTGTCCTCATAAACCACATAAACATGCACACATACACGCACACCCATATACACACACACACACAAATGATCAAAACTTACCAACAACAAGAGCTTAAAAGTGATTATAGATGGACTAGAAGGAGTTACTTTAGACAAGACCTTAAATTTGTTCAGAAGTAAAAAGTAGGGATTCAGTGATACTACAGTTATGGCTTATGGTATATGACTTTCTTCTTTCAGACAAATCCAATCGGAGTTTTTGCCCTGGCTATTCCAAGCGTTATCATTGCAGTGGGTGGGTGTTTCTGTTGAACAATCCACAAGTCGTCAAATAAAGTGCGCGCATCCATAATAAAATGTGCCTCACATGGCTCTGGGGAGTGAATAAAGGCCTCCTGTCCATGCATTTTTCCATGCATCCATGCATTTTTGTTAGAAAAATGTCCATATTTCAAATGTAATAAACACTTTTCTCTCACTTCCGGTATCTGTCATACGCAGAAGCCATTCCGGCACACGCCTCTGAGATATGCTAGTCTCGCGAGTTTGTTTACAGGAGCACGTTTTATGGATGCGCACACTTTATTTGACGACTTGTGGATTGTTCAACAGAAACACCTACCCACTGCAATGATAACGCTTGGAATAGCCAGGGCAATTTTTTATATAACTCTGATTGGATTCGTCTGAAAGAAGAAAGTCATATACACCTAGGATGCCTCGAGGGTGAGTAAAACTAATTTTCATTTTTGGGTGAACTAACCCTTTAAACCAATAAACCGCAAAATATTATCATGTTTTCACTGAGGGAAATAAAACGTTTAAGCGTGACAGTGGAGGATTAGCACACAGGCTCAATTTTCACTTTGCCCTCTTCCAGGTTGGTCCTTTTTTTCTTTTTAAACACGGATTAGACTGGATAATCTTGGGTTTAAGTAAGATACAACCATATTGTGCATTCAAATGTACTACGATAACATCTGGGATCACAGCGTGTAAGTGGTGTAGGTTATGCTGGGTAATGCTGGAGGTTAAGCAGGCACAGAGTATTTCATGGAAAGGGCATGAGTTTATTATGGCCAAAGGAGAGTGAAAGAAAAAGTACACGAGAACAAAATGGAAAAGGGCAAAAGGGAAAAAGAAACAGAGAAAGAGCAAAAGCAAAGAGAGAGTGTAGGCAAATGCGAGGGAGGAAGAGAAATATCCAGTGATGTGAAATCTGACAGTCAATTACTTTGACTGCTCCATGTACCTTAACCAAAACAGCCTCACATTACTGCTCACACTTCAGCTGGAGTGTCAAGGCAGAGAGAAGAGTGTGTATGACAGCTGTCTGAAGTCTGAGGGAAAATACGACAGATAGAGAGACAGGACCCCAGACTTTTTTTTCTTGTCCTATAAGTCAAAGAAAACAGTAGAGTCTCAAAGATGTGACTGGAGCTGCTGGGAGGAAGAGAAAGAGACAATGAAGGAAAGAGAAAATGAGAGGTTGAGACCATTAAAAACATGATAAACAGGCTCAGGATATGAAGCAAACAGCTTACCTCAACATCAGAAAAATCAATTATAATCCACATAAAATGGGTCTCATTTATTAGTAACTGTGTAATACCAGATGAGAGCACACCACTTTGTTCTTACTCCGGTTCTAATGTTGATGGATCTGCATTATTGTAATTGTGCACCTAGTAATTAGTATAATATAAATATACACCCAGACCATCTCCATTTAAGGGATAATTCATATTTCTAATAATAATATTTAGCTTAACAAATTCCACATCCCTAAAGACATCCCTTTTTTTCGTTTGACATTTCCGTTCAAAAGTTTGGGGTCAACCTTTTTAAAAAAAAAAAAAAAAGAATATTTTTACATAGCAAGGATGAAATAACTTTGATGAAAACTGACAGTTCTATTTCAAATAAATGCAATCCTTCTGAACTCATCAAAGAATCCTGAAAAAAAAAACAGTTTCCAGAAAAGTATAAATAGCACAACTGTTTTCAACACTGATAATAACACGAAATGTTTCTTGAGCACCAAAATCAGCATACATAAATGATTTCTGAAGGATCATGTGACAGGGAAGACTGGAGTAATGACTGCTGAAAATTCAGCTTTGCCGTCACATGAATAAATTACATTAGAAAATATATTAAAATAAAAAACAGTTATTTTAAATTATAATTATAATTTCATAATATGACATATTATAAAGTAATAATCCTATATTTACACATCATCCATGCTTAACCCTTTCCTGATCAAATGAATTCATGTTAAGTATTAGAGACTTCTTTTAAAAACACTAAAAAAATTGTACCAACATTTTGAACAGTAGTGTACAATTCTTCTATCACTTATTCTATGAAAATGTTCCTACACAGTTTTTTTTTTTTTTTACAGTTATGAACATAGTTAGCAAATGAAATGCAATATAATTATATTCCCTCAAGATGCTGCTTTGAAATGATACATTGATAAGTTAATGAAACAGAAAACCATAAAGTATAATTTTCCCTGCAGAACAATAACAATCCATCGATGTAAAGCCCTTCTCCACAGCCCTTTCCACCAGTGATAACCATCTCACAGGCAGTAAAGTAAATCATGCCAGAACATGTGAGAAAGTGGGAAAGATACGCTGCGTTCCTCTAATCTCTGCTTTATGAGGCTTCCTCTAACTACCAGCGATCATATCAGAGACTGCAGCCATTTCTGCCACTAAAACAAATAGTACTGAGATATTAGAGATTAACAATAAGATCCTTAGAAAAGATTGAGGAATGTTTTGATTTCTTCATACTTCATAAGAATATGTCTTTACTACACAATTTTCATTTATACAGTAATAAAGCTGTCAATAGAATATATTTGTGAAAAATAATTTACGATTAAGGTACACTTTAAAAAAAAAAAAGACCAACTTCAACCAGACAAGACTTGTCAAACAAACTTAAAGGGTTAGTTCACCCAAAAATGAAAAATCTGTCTGTAATTACTCACCCTCATTTGGTTCCAAACCCGTAAGACCTTTGTTCGTCTTCACAAATTAAGATATTTTTGATGAAATCCAAGAGCTTTCTGACCCTGCATAGACAGCAATGCACTGAACCACTGATGTAACATGGACTATTTTAATGATGTCCGTACTGCCTTTCTGGGCCTTGAACGTGTCAGTTGCGTTGCTGTCTTTGGGTTTGGAACAACATGAGGGTGTGTAATTAATGACCGAATTTTACACATTTTTGGGTGAACTCACAAAATGAATTTACATTAACTTTACATGATTAGTTCACACAGAAACAAATATTCTGTCATCATTTACTTACCCTCATGTCATTCCAAACCCATATGACCATCTTTCTTCCGTGGAACACCAAATGTAATTTTGACAACACACTAGTTGCCCTTTTTCATGCAATTACAAAGAATGGAGACTCAAGCTTTCCAGCTGTGGTCAATAGCAATTCGTGTCTACATATACATCAACCTAGGCTACAATCACAATATCTATGTCTGTTAGTCCAACTTCACAAAAATGGGTCTAAAGTGGTTTTATGACATTTAGAAAAATAATTCCTTTAGTCCAACTGAAATTAAGCTTTTAAAACGCATGTAAATGCACTGATAACTTACTAACTCAACTGGATGAGTTTGAATGTGTACACCATATTAATCAATTAATTTAAAAAGTGTTCTGTGGAAAAAAGTCAGATGGGTTTAAAATGACATGAGGGTGAGTAAATAATGACAGACTTTTAGTAAATAGAAGCCTATCATTTAAGTACTCCATTACGAACGTACATTAAAAAGATTCAAACTGCATCAATGACAGTAAATAGCTTAAGTGCTAAGAGTGTTTCCACTCTGCACCTATCACTGGATGAGTGTTAGAGCAGATGAGAAGAACATGTCCAGCTGATGCTCCTCTCAGAGCAGAGTGCCTCTCACACTACAGATAGAAGATGAGGAGCACCCCTGCCTTTCAGTGTCTCAGCCCTCAGAAAGGCTTGAGCCCCATTAACACACACAAACATATAGCCAAGCAGAAATGTGGGCACACACACAGATCATCTCTACAGGTCAGAACAAAGATATTCTTTGATGGGAGCAGGTTGTTAGGAGGGGGAGGGTGCTGAGGCTGTGTATGAATGAAAGAAGCCTTATTAAAGTTAGGCTGTATGGGTCGCCACATGACCTGGACACTAATCACAGGAAATGAGTTTTGCTTCAAACACACACACACACACACACACACACACATATATCACAAGCTCTTCATGCTATATATGAGAGGATTTCATACAAGAAAATCAGTCAGATGTGACCAGATGTCAATAACTATTAAAGACTTGATACTGCAAATCAATCCAAAACAGTAATCAGTAGTGGACGACCAATATATCACCAAGGCTGATATATCAGTTGTTATTTGGCAGTTTTTATTATAAGATTTCCTGTTTAGCTGATTAGCATCGAAACACAGTATACCACCCATTCACAGTTTTCATTAGTTTACTATATTTGTTTAATGGTATACGCAAAAAAGTGTTATAGCATTTTCCTTTTTGTTACTATTAGGAAGGCAAATGCTATAATGCTTTTTCATATACCAACAGCATTCAGCAAATTAACATCACTTTTATCCTGACAACTCTCAGAGGGTTTGGCATGGTAATGTACATGACGGAATAGATCTCCTACGCTGCTGCTGCTGTGGCAGAGCAAGTACCGAGACTTGCTACTACCAATACATCCACAACATGCCGCTGTGAGCATGTAAGAAATACTGCTGCTGCACATATAACATACATGAAATAACCCCCATATAGCATACATGAATCACCCCATAGCAGATCTATACAGGTGGAGCTGGGGAAGGTGGAGGGTTTCTGATGCGCGCTGCAACTGCTACAGCAAGCACTGGCTGAGTATTTGAATGTTAAGCAGCAAGCTCATTGGCTGCTGATACAAAAAGAACCAATCAGCTGCGCCATGTGACAATGATGTCATTATGTCAGATTGAGTTAGACCTATCAGACAGTGCCATCTAGAGTTTCATTAAAGAAATTTGGATTTAAACAAATCTTTGAATATCTAGTAAATATTTAATTTCAAGAAACTCACAAACATTAAGGAATACAATCCATTTATGCAAATTTTGTGCAATTTCAAATCAATTATTTCAAACTATTCAGTGCTACTGTATATTCAGTTGGCAGCTATGTTATATACACTGTGAACTATGAGTAAAATTTGTGTCACCTGGTCTTTATTTGAGAAAATATAATTTTGTACCATATTACTGTTGGTTTCAGTGTTTACTGCCTTTTACATTTTTTTTATTCTTTAAAAATACTACAGTATATTAGGATTACAGAATCATTTAAATAAATGGCCTATTTCTAATTTAGTTAATATTATGTCAAATAAAAATAAATTTTATTGTCTTTAAGGGGTCATGAATTCAGAAATCAAATTTTCTTTGATTTTTTAAAATACTGTATAAGAGGTCACTGCACTAAAAAAAGAAAGTTTCAAAACTCAAAACTTCCTCATTAGTATTAAAAGAGCTTTTATTGAAACCAAGCTGCCAAAATAACTATCGACCAATAGTAATCAGTCATAAAAGTTCTAAAAATTATAGTATGTTTAAGTATATGTGGAATCATATTTCCACTGCAACTCCAGGAGATACTGTAATTTTTCTCACCTGCGAGTCTGAGATGGACACTCGCTTGGACTCGATGGTTGGCTGTCTGGCTATTCGGGAATAGCGGTCAGCCCCGCTCCCAGAAGACACGTACGTTCCTCTCTCCTGCAATGACATCTTCCGGCCTGACAGGTGGGGCCTCATGGGCAGAGCTTTCTTAACACCTGTCCCATTCTTCACTACACTGGAGGAGGGATCAGACCTTAGTGACACCACAGACATCTTGTCAGTCATCTCAGCCACCTGGGAGGAGTCTGGGTCAGGGTCCACCCCCACGCAACCAGGATCACTGCTCATCGACACTCGCTTGGACTCGATGGTTGGCTGTCTGGCTATTCGGGAATAGCGGTCAGCCCCGCTCCCAGAAGACACGTACGTTCCTCTCTCCTGCAATGACATCTTCCGGCCTGACAGGTGGGGCCTCATGGGCAGAGCTTTCTTAACACCTGTCCCATTCTTCACTACACTGGAGGAGGTATCGGACTTTAGCGACACCGCAGACATCTTGTCAGTCATCTCAGTGGTCTGGGAGGAGTCTGGGTCAGGGCCCACCCCCATGCAACCAGGATCACTGTTCATCGCCATGACGATGGAGTAGGAGGAGCTTGGAGGCAGGGAGGAGGGGGGTGTGGGGTTTTCGCATTAATTGTTCCACCTCCAATGTCAGCTTGCAGTTACAGGAAGCTGTGGCTATACAGACAGATAAAGAGAGGAAGGAAACAAAGACAGAGTTTGTTACTGAAATGTAATTTCGTTACATAGATTTTGGTCTTTCCTCATTTAAGTAGACAGGTACAGAATTTTAACAAGATGGCTGCTGTGTGGACTGACTTCCAAAAGCATTGGTTCTCAAACAGGCTATATTGATATTACACTTAATTAAATTAATTAATTATTATTACATTTATTATAAATATACTTAAACAATTTAACTTTATTAAAATGCTAAAAACAAACAGACAATAAAGATGTAAACTGGAATCAAATGTCTTTTTCCCTCACTACCAATTGTTTTTATTTAAGAACATACACTTCTTGAAACTCCTGAATCACAAAATGAAATGTAGTTAATTCATTTACTCTACCTATATCAACACTCCAGTTTTGATGACTGTATATGATAGTAGATGATTTGTATCAGTAAACAGCCATGTCAGCCTGGCTGATTAAAGGGTTAGTTCATCCAAAAATGAAAATTAGCCCACAAATTACTCACCCTCAAGTCATCCTAGGTGTATATGACTTTCTTCTTTCAGACGAATCCAGTCAGAGTTATATAAAAAATTGTCTTTGATCTTTCAAGCTGTTTAATGCCACTCAGCGGGTGTTGCATGCATCAGTCCAAAATAAGTTAAATAAAAAGCGCCCATCCATAAAAAAAAGTGTCTCACACGGCTCCGGGGGGTGAACAAAGGCCTCCTGTAGCGAATCGATGCATTTTTGTAAGAAAAATATCCATATTCAAAACGTAATAATCACTTTAATGTAGCTTGCGCCAACAGTCCTACATGGAAGCAGCTCCGGGCGGATGACGTATGGAGGTCAGCTTTGCGCATGCTCCGCTCAGAAGTGACGAACATTAAGCCAAGAGGAGACTGGTTTTCCTTTGCTAAAGTAAGGAAACTTCGCTTCCTTTGATCCTGTAAACAAACGTTGGTTTTCACGAGACTAACCGGTGCATGCGCAACACTGAACTCATACATCATCCGCCCAGAGCTGCTTCCATGTAGGACTGTTGACGCAAGCTACATTAAAGTGATTATTACGTTTTAAATATGGATATTTTTCTTACAAAAACGCATCGATTCG